CTACCCGTCTGTACAAAATCCACACTTGATCTTAAGTTGATTGGCAATAGGAACTATGACCTCCACTTCCATATGTCTTTGGAATCTAATATAGTCCAGTGCAAACAGTGGGTGCTCAATAAGTGTTTGTTGACTGATCATCCTTATTTTTAGGTTTCACATATAGTATACATCTTTATACACAAAAAGTCAACATGTAAAATTGATATTAGATCATTTACAATCAAATAATTATTACACTTAACAAACATTTGCATATCTCCAATGTGCAAAAGCCTGATAAAGGCTATAAAGTCAGAATGCAGACACTTGATATGACATGTGATAAGCTCTATACCACATAAAATTAGGTGAAATAAACGAGTTTACAGAAATAAATATTTGCCATTTCAGAGAAGCAAAGTACTAGGGTGGAGTGATAGGCATGACTAGGAATATCAGCAGCCTCCAGCAGTAGTAATCACTGCACTAGGCCTTGAGGAACTGACGGGATTTAAATGGGTGGAGAAGGGAGAGGGGGTGCTCCAGGGCACACATCCCTGCGAGGAAGCAGTGGTAATGAAGATAAGCACAAACTAATGGAGGAATGAAGGCACAGGCGCCTGAACCCATATGGGGAATGTAATGAAAAGAACAGCCAGGCTGAGGTTAGTTTCCTACTGAGAAGGCATAGAAAATAAGCAGTAGAGGACCTTTAAAACTCAAGGGATTTAGACTTGTCACTGAAACAAGAGGGAGTTTTTGAAGGATTTGCGGGGGAGAAAGTAGGGATTAAAATGAGAGGATTAATACAGCTTGTTGCACAGAAAGCGTGGGGGTAGCGCAGAGCTGAGGGCAGATTTGAAACCCAGCTTAACATGCTTTCTAGAACCTGAATGCCTTTTTAGCATTGGTTACATAACTTTTTTTCTTTTAGATAATCTATGCATTTAGAATCATTATTTTTTATTTTTCTCTTTTTTTTAGATTACAGTATTTTATTCCTTAAAAAATGTTACTGGTTAAAAAAAAAAGTTATAAGCAAAGAAGCTGCATTCCATTCTTCCTGGACTAGAAACAGAATGGCTTCAGTCTGGTTTATTTCTTTGAATTTCAAGATATTTTTTATTCTTTTTGTAATTTTAAGTTTTTGTACTAAACATTAAAATAGTAGTTATGTAGATGATTTCATATATCCCAATTTTGAGATTTAGATTTTGCTATTATGAATATTTTCATCAGAAAGTCATTATCATTCTGAATTATCTTGGTTTACATATTGTTACATTTTAAGATGACTCTATTACTATAGAAAAAGACTTTTCCCCCATTTTTTTCACATGTAAATTGAAAGTCCATGGAAAATATTTCACTGAAATTTACTTTTAAGGAATGCTTTTATGTATATGAGGTGATGTATGATGCACATGCACTTTGGAATACTGTAAATCTAGTATTCTACTAGGCATATATTAGTATTTTTAACAGAACTTTTACCAACTAGATTAACTTGATTATATGCACATTAGGAGTATTCTGGAAGTTGTTTTCATCTACCAATTTTCCATTTCCTTGAATCATTATCAAGTAAACTACACTCAGTTTAGAAAAGCAAAGACATTTTTCTTTATTCTATGCTTCAGTTTGTCTTTTCATTCAATGAGCATTTACTGACTATACCCTGTGGGAATGGCACTCTTAGGTGCTGGGATGCAAAGATGATTCCTAATAAGGTCTCTCCAAGGAGGCTGTTTGCAGGGGCTGGGGGGTGAGGAGCCTTGTAATAAATGAGATGAAATTAAATGAGATGCAATGTTATCATTCTTCATGGGGCTCCAAACAGGATGTGGTAAGATAGACATCATAGGGTACAGGGAGGGAAGAAAAGGACATAGAGAAGGTGATACTCGAATCGAGTTTTAAAAGATGAGAAAGTTTGGAGATGAGAAGTTTGGGGAAAAATGGGATTCCTGATAGAGTTAGTGATGTATGTCTCTTGAATTGTCTAACTGGTATACCAGCAGCACTTTTGCCCGGGCTGGTCTCCAACTATGGACGAAAATGGAAAGGAAGGTTTTCTGAATCAAAGAAAATTTGCTTTTCCTGATACAACACAGTGCCTGAAAGTGACAATGCTAGCATATAAATGAGCATTATAAGGTGTGTTTTGAGGTACATTCTGATACATAAACTCTCAATAGCGAATTACACGATTCCTATATCCTCTTGCCTTTGGGGAGCTTCAAATGACACAATCTCCCTTTTGCCCTCCCTCCTCCAGTTATGCTTCTAATCCATGAACTCTTTCTTAGACATCATTTCCTTCCTTTCCGTATTCAACTCTGATGAAACTACCTGAGAGCAAGTCCTGGCACTGAGTGGTGATAACAGTCTGCAACTAGAAGTCTGGAGTGTGCTCGCAATTCATAGACTCAAGGGCTATTCCTATATCTGATCAACCTCCAATCTCAAATCCCTAGAATTCCTCCAGTTTCTTCCATTTGTAAAAAATATTATTTGTCTGTTGTAGTCCAAGGACTTTGTCTTATTCTAGGTACTTTGGTGATATTAATGAATAAAATGGACAAAGATCCCTGGCCCAATGGAACTTACATTTTAGTAATCCTCACAGTGGATTGGAGAGATTGCTTCTTTTCTCCCATGTAGACAAAGGATTTATATAGTCAGGCTGCTACCTAAAGTAGTGGGGTTTTTTTTACGGGCTTTGTAGAGATACTGGGGCAAGAAGACATTTTTTATTTCAGGAGAAAAAGAACCTGGGGATTCTTTAAGGATAGACCAGTATGATATGGCAAATTTTCTCTAGTTTATCTTGTTAAAAGGTAGAAGTTTGAAGGTTCTAAAAATATAGTAGTTTCTGAGACAGATAAATTGGTGAAGGGAAAAATATTGTAAGACAAATTATTTGAAGCTTTTCTTTCCTTGAGCTTCAGTGAGGAGAGAGAAGACAGCCACCAAATGACTAATGTATCAATTATAGTGTGGGTATACTTTACACAGGCAGAATGGAAATATTGTAAGAAAGTAGAAACAACTAAATAGAAGAGAATTCTGTTGTGACATAAAAACTTGGAGTTCCAGGGTTCTGGCCAAGATGGAGGCGTAGGTAGATGCCCTTCACGTCCTGGCACAACCAAAAGAAGGACAACAACCAATTTAAAAACAAAAAACAACCAGAACTGCCAGAAAATCAAACTGTATGGAAGTCTGACAACCAAGGAGTTAAAGAAGAAACCAGACCAATAGGAGGGGCGGAGACAAGCAGGCGGGGCAAAGAGGATGCACGACAAGGCTGCAGCTGGCAGACCAGGTGGTCCCACATCTGTGTGCGGATAAACTGGGAGGAACAAATGAGGAGTGAGACAGACCACGCACCCAGGGTTCCAGCACCTGGAAATAAAGCCTCAAAACCTCTGACTGAAAAAACCTGTGGGTGTTGCAACTGTGGGAGAAACTCCCAGCCTTATAGGAGAGTCTGTTAGAGAGACCCAAGGGGTCCCTCTAGAATATACACAAACCCACCCACCTGGGAATCAGCACCTGAAAGGGCACGAACCGCTTGTGGGAAGTGACGGAAAGTGGGGCAAGAGCCGAGCAAGTGACATTGTTCCCTCTCTGACCCCTCCCCACATACAGTATCACAGTACGGCCACATGGGTTGCCCCACCCTGGAGAACACCTAAGGCTCTGCCCCTTACTGTGTAACAGGTGTACCAAGACAAAGAAATACTGCCCAAATGAAAGAACAGATCAAAACTCCAGAAAAAGAACTAAGCAACAAGGAGATAGCCAACCTATCAGATGCAGAGTTCAAAATGCTGGTAATCAGAGTGCTCACAGAAATGATTGAGTATAGTCGCAAAATAAAGTAAGAAATGAAGGCTATACAAAGCGAAATAAAGGAAAATATACAGAGAATCAACAGTGAAGTGAAGGGAACTGGGACTCAAATCAACAATTTGGAATAAAAGGAAGAAATAAACATCCAATCGGAACAGAATGAAGAAAGAAGAATTTTTAAAAATTAGGAAAGGCTAAGGAACCTCCAGGACAACTTTAAATGTCCCAACATCTGAATCAAAGGGGTGCCAGAAGAAGAAGAGGAAGAGCAAGAAAGTGAAAACTTAGTTGAAAACATAATGAAGGAGAACTTCCCCAATCTGGGGAAGGAAATAGACTTCCAGGAAGTCCAGGAAGCTCAGAGAGTCCCAAAGAAGTTGGATCCAAGAAAAAACACACCAAGGCATATCATAATCACATTAGCCAAGATTAAAGATAAGGAGAGAATCTTAAAAGCAGTGAGAGAAAATGAGACATTACCTACAAAGGAGCTCCCATAAGACTCTCAGCTGATTTCTCAAAAGAAATCTTGTAGGCAAGAAGGGGCTGGAAAGAAGTATTCCAAGTCATGAAAGGAAAGGACCTACATCTAAGATGACTCTATCCAGCAAAGCTAGAATAGAAGGGCAGATAAAGTGCTTCCCAGATAAGGACAAGTTAAAGTTCATCATCACCAAGCCCTTATTATGTGAAATGTTGAAGGGACTTATCTAAGAAAAAGAAGATGATCAAAAACATGAACAGTGAAATGACAACAAATTCACAACTATCAAGAACTGAACCTAAAAAACAAAAACTAAGCAAATAACTAGAACAGGAACAGAATCACAGAAATGGAGATCACATGGAGGGTTATCAGCAGGGAGTGTGGGGTAAGGGGAGAGGGAGAATGGGGAAAAAGGTACAGGGAATAAGAAACATAATTGGTAGGCACAAAATAGACAGGGAGAGGTTAAGAATAGTATCGGAAATGGAGCAGCCAAATAACTTATATGTACAACCCATGGACATGAACTAAGATGGGGGGGCGGACCCTGGAGGGTGGGGGAGAGAGGGGAGAAAAAAATGGAACAACTGTAATAGCATAATCAATAAAATATACTTAAAAATGGAGGTATTATGAAACAGAGTGTTTTTAGTTTTATTTTTTGATTTTACAGATGCTGTACTTACTCCCTCAGGAAAAAACCCGTCTCTGCAGACAAATGTGAGTTTAGACAAGAAATCAGACAGTACCGTTGCAAAGACTGCAACAGAAAACCCCTTGCAAACGCCTCCAGAAAAGTGTTCAGCTGCCAAAAGTTTTGAAGCCTTGACAACTTTGCCAGCATGTTGGTCATCGAGTAAAGAAGAGTCTATCAGCCCACATTTAAGACTATCCAAGTCAGATTCTACTTTCTATAACCAGGCCTCCGTAGAGACACTCTATGTCTCTCCCGCATTCAAACTGTTTGACCCAGTGAAGGAGACTGTCATCAGTAAGGACTCCCAGGAGCCAGCACCGCCCAGCATCGCTCAGACGGATGAGGAACACCTCAAGACCTTAATGACATGGGGTAAGTCTTAAAAACAAAACAAAACAAAACAAAACACCCCAACATGAACAAAAAAAATCCTCTTTGGAAGCATTCTTCTTTTACTTGTCTCTGCTTTCTGTCCCCCTCTTCTCCAGGAAGAGGAGGTTGTTCCAGAGGAGGGGACACCGCTCCTTTCACTGCTCTTCCAGTGGCACTAAAATGTACATGTTGTAGGGGTACTTCTCCCCCCCCACACCTGCCCTTCCAAATCTCCTCTGGTGGTTTCCAGAAGTACCCAAGAATTTCTCATTCATTCTCAGGAACAAGTAAACTTATATTCTTCCAGAAAGGGCATTCCGGCCCGAGGAATAATACAGAGCTGTGACTGAGCAAGGAAACTCTGTGGCGCTCCAATGTGTCCTCCGTGGGATATCCAGAACGGCCCGATGACGCACACTGCCCACGTAATCCGGGCACTGCTCGCCACATGCCCAAAGATCCACTAGCCTTCCGGGCCCCGCGCAGTCTAGCTTCTGCCCCTCGGCAGGCTGATGTCCTTTCCATCTGTCAAATAGACCGCGTGGCTTCGGCACCTCTGGACTCCTGTTCCCTCCAACTTGTAATCCGCCCCTCCCCTCGTCCACTCTCCCTCATCCTTTGAGGTCAGCTCACGTGTCACTTCTTCAAGGTTTCCTGACCCCTAGATGACTTCCAGTCCCCCCCCCCCCAAATGCATGATAGCTTGTGTACCCTATCATTGTCCTTCCTAGGACTCACTGTCACTCTAATCAAATAGAAGTACATATGCATTAAGTTTTCAATGTCTTTCCCCCACACTGGAATGTCAGCTTTATGAGGGAAGGGACCCTGCACACCCCATTATTATTATATCCTCATCACCAACCACAGCGCCTTGCACTCAGGGGGCACTGCATGTTTAACAAGCAAACTGAAAGCAGCTTCGTGGAGAAGGAATCGGAAATGCCGTGAAAAAGTAATAGAAAGAAACACTGGACGGGGAGGCCAGGGTAGATGGTGAGGAGCTGTGTGTGCAGGGTTAAGTTTGGACTTTCTTTTGGAGACAGTGCAAGTCACTAAAGGTTTTGCGTCAGGTGAGAGGCTTTACAAATGAGTGTTAGAAAAATTCCTCCGTCAGGGGATGCGGAGGACTGATCTGGAGGGGGCGAGGCAGGGAGGCAGTGCCACTGCAGGAAAGGAAACTGGGCGAGAGGTAGGCGCCGAGAGAGGACGAGGCAGAAGGAGGTGGCGCATGACCTGGGGGAGGTGGCCCAGAGTCCAGGACGGAAAAGGAGTCGCTCATCCTGCAGGCCAGTGAGGAAGGAGAGAGGCGGCATCGGGTGTGAGGGAAGGGTTTCGCTGATCTCAGTAATTCAGGGGTACTGAGCCTTCCGGCACCATACACCGTATGTCTTGGCCTCCGCGTCTTACCGTCTGGCGTCGCTGGAATGACAGCACAGCTGTGGAGAGACCGGAAAAGACTCAGAACAGCCGCTCCAGGGAACGGAAGAGGGAACTGACAAGACGAAGGAGAGGTCGTTTGCAGCGGTCCAAATTGACGGGCTCTCCTGCTTTTCTCCACTCGTGCTGAGCAGCCCGGGCATAGGAATGAAAAGAGGTAGATATTTCTGTTCGAATACGATTAGGACAGGGATTGGCAAACTGCAGCTCCTGGGCCGAATCTGGCCCACTGCCGGTTTTCATAAACAAAGGTTTACTGGAACACCGCCGCACTAACCGGTTCACGTGTTGCCTCTGGCCGCTTTTGCGCCCCAACAGCGGAGCTGAGTAGTTGCAACAGACACTGTCTGTCCCACAGCGCCTAAAATATTTACTGTCTGGTCCTTTGCAGACGGGCTTGCTCACTCCTGGGCTAGGACTCGGCTGTGGGTAAGGCAGAAGGGGCCACCGCAGCCATGGGGCAGCAAGGAAGTGGCGAACGTGATGGACAGTGGGAGTCTACGCTGGACAAGACAGGAGGCAGAGCCGGGCAGGCCCTGGCAGCGTGGGAGAAAACACAAGGGTCGTTGGGTCTGCTGTCTCCATGAGGCCAAAGTGTAGACACATTAAAAGGAATGAGGGGCCTGGAAGTAACTGAGAAGGAAAGGAATCTCAGCACGCAAGGTTTCAGAGCGAGGCAGTTCTGAGTGGTGACGCGGTCTAGCCCCCGGCTGTCAGACTCACGTTCGCCGGGGGCCACCTCAGCCTCGCGCTGGCCTTCAAGGGGCTGAATGTAATTTCAACTCCTTAGCAGTTAAGGGGTAGTGACATTTATACAGTCCTAAAATTATTTAGGCCCTTTGAACACAACCAGAAGGCTGATGTGGTCCCCGGTGAAAATGAGTTTGGCACCCCTGTTCTAGGGAGTGCTCGGAGGAAGAGCTGGTGGTCATTATGGTTGAGGAGTTCAAGGAATTGTGGAGGAGGTGAGGATGGCTGGCTGGTCTCCACGGACGCTGGCACTACTGGGGATGGTGGAGGATAAAGGAGATAGTACAGTAGCCCCTGCTGTGGTTTTGCATTTCAAAGTTCCACTTACCACTGGTCAACTGGGATTCAGAAACACTCAGTGGACAGTTCCAGAAATAGACAATTTCATAAACCATCCATAAGTTTTAAATCGCATGTTGGTCTGAGTGGCATGGTGGCATGTCACACCACCCCCCTTCATCCCGCCCGGGACATTGATCATCCCTTTGTCGAGCTTGTCCACGAAGGGCACGCTATCTGCCCATCAGTCACCGAGTAGCCATCCCAGGGACCAGGTGGACTGCCGTGGGGTCTCAGTGCTCGCGTTCACGTCACCCTTATTGCACTCAACAATGGCCCCCGAGCACAAGAGTAGCGATGCTGACGATTAGCATGTGCCGAGGAGGAGCCAGAAAGCACTTCTTCTAAATGAAAAGATAAAAGCTCGAGACTTAATAAGGAAAGAAAGAATCCATATGCTAAGGTTGCTAAGATCTACGGTGAGAAAAAATCTGTGAATTGTGAAGAAGGAAAAAGAATTTTGTGCTAGTTGTGTCGTTGCAGCTCAAACTGCAGAAGTTACGGCCACAGCGGGTGGTGACGGCTCAGTTAGGACGGAAAAGGCATTAATTTGTGGGCGGGAGACGTGCTCAGAAAACGTGCTCCAACAGACACCAACCGGAGAGCACTGGGCCCACCCAGAAACTGCAGCGAGGGTCCTCTGACATGAATGGCCCCATTCACACGGCTCGTATTGCAGTATATTGTTATGATAGTTCCGTTGTATTATCGTCGCTAATTTATTACCATGCCTAATTGATAAATTGAACTTTATCATAAGTATGTATGTATGTATGTATGTATGTATAGGAAAAACAATAAAATTGACCCTTAAACATCATGGGGGCTGGGGGCACCAACACCCACCCAAGCAGCTGAAAACCCGCACATAACTTTAGAGTCCCCCAAAACGTAACTCCTCATAGCCTGCTGCTGACTGGAAGCCTTACTGACAAGTAAACAGTCATTTCACACCTATTTTGTGTGTTACATGTAGTATATGAGGTCTGTCCAGAAGGCATCCAGCCATATAATATGTAAAGTAGAGACATTTATTGGAGAAGATACAAGATACAAGAAACCGTGTGCACAGGACAATGGCGTCTTAGTCCCCTTCAAAGTAGGCACCTGGGGACCTCACATAGGTCCCAAGCACCATCAGCTGCCCGGTTGTATTTTCCTGGATCTCATCGATGGTCTGAAATCTCTTCCCTTTCACAGGTGATCTTAGTTTTGGGAAAAGCCAGAAGTCACAGGGCGCCAACTCTGGGCTGTAGGGGGGCTGAGTCACCTGGGTGATTTGACGTTTCACCAAAAACCTCTGCATAAGATGTGACGCACGAGCAGGCACATTGTTGTGATGAAGCTGCCAGTCACCAGTTGCCCATAGCTGCAGCCTTTCTGAATCATTCAAATAATTTCCGCGGAGGAATATTCAAGCCTAACATGAAATTTGATGCAGATTTTTTGCTCTATTTGCTCAGTCATTTTGAATGCAAGGGTCACACAGTACACAGGCTCACTCAACGATGTCTACTGCCCGCCCCTGACTACCGCAGTGAAGTCATCATTGTTCACGCACACACATTCCAGTCCACTCTCCCTGGCTGCCGGGTAACGTGGGTGTCACGCAAACCGGTCTTGTTTTGTTAACAATGGCTGGACTTTTTCCAGACAGACCTCATACACTATATTCTTACAGTAAAATGAGCTAGAGAAAAGAAAACATTACTGAGAAGATCAAAAGGAAGAGAAACATTATTTATAGTATTTATGGAAAAAATTTTGAATATAAGTAGATTAGCACAGATCAAGGATCAGCTATAAATACAGGTCTTGGAACATATCCCCTGAGGATAAGGGGGGGACTACTTTATCTGTCTTCTGGTTTTGAGAAGTATTTGTCTATAGGGAGTGTCTTTTTAGGGAACAAGCTGGGCAAGTGAAAAACTCCTCGCACATTCTTATTTTAGCAGACCTGACTTATCAGGGAGGCCGCGGAAGGCAGCGACGTCACACGCCTTAGCATTTTCACTGAACGAGGGGGATGGATTTGCTGCCGCAGCCTTTTGACCTTTTAATACTGAATCATTCTGTTCTTAGAACAGCCTGTTCCTTCTGCCCCTCTGTTTGAATTTTGTCATCTACCTGTAGCTCAAACTATTCTTTTGGGTCATCGGATATTTTATCATGCATACTAAGAAGGAAAACCAAAGAGCTAGATGATGCGTAGAACTCTGATCTGGTGGCAGGCAGCTTTTCCCACTCTCCGAGCCCCGGTAGGGGTGCCGGACGGCCCTGGGCTGTACTTTCCCATCTGTTTGGAGCAAAGAAAACTGTACTTTCTCATGCTGGGATAATGGGGAGGTTCTCTCTGGCCTCCTCCTTCGTTTCTGTTTCTCATTGGTTCCTTTTTTACTTTTTCCTCTGGTTTTCAGTCGTCGTTACTCTGTATTTCTCAGTTCATCTCAGCTAGGAAGAGAGGCCAAACA